TGTTGGGGTCCTGTGGGTGGCAGGCAGTCGATGTGTCTCTCTTACATTGATGTTTCTCTCTCTCTTCCCCTACTCTCCCTCCCACTCTATCTGAAGATAAATGCAAAAAGAAAAAAGAATATAAAGAAATTGAATAGAGTATTCAATAAACCTAGTTATATGTGCATATATATAAATAGTATTTCACAGTCCTACAATAGCCCATTGTGTTTTTTTTAAATGTCAAAGGAACTTTGGTCAAAGTTTATCAGTGTCCAAAGTCATAAAGAAAATCTGAACAGATGAGAAAAGTTGAGGTTTTACAGACCATATTGTCTGGTAATAATACAAAAAATTAGAAAGAAATAGTTAATAAGATGACTCCTTTGAAACCGGCCTCCTGTGGAGGATTTACCTATTTTCCTTGTATTCATTTTTACTGTAGAATTACCCTCAGCATATTCACAAATTGGGAAATTGGTAGTAGCAAGGAGTTAGTTCTTTATATTTCTGTTTTTATATTGTCAAAATGTCTTTATGTTTTAATTTGATACCTTTGTGTGACAACTGCTGAAGTGGGCACAGGTAGTATCAGTGTCCATACCCAGATCTCTTATTATACTGTAAAACTTGACCTGAAATTTTAGGTTGATATTCCTGGCCTTTACCTTTCAACTCTGTCTAAATTTTCAGTAACCACTTGTTGGTCACTCACTAGAACATAGGGAATTTCTAATTAAAAACTGGTAACATTGAAAAGAAATAACACCTGATACAGAGGGAATATGGACAATAGAATATTTTCACATATTGCAGGTGCAAATGTGAATTGCTATAGCCTTTTGGAAAATAATTTGGCAGCCTAGTTAACAATTAAAATTCATATTCCTTTTGGCCTAATAAACCTCCTCCCAAGATTCTATTCTTAGAAATGAAAGCACAATAAGACCATATGTATAGGGATATTTATTGCAACAGTGTACATAATGTCAACCAACTGAAAACAAAATGAATGTTAGTAGGAGAAAGGCAGAAAAAAAAAAAAAGATATCTCCATAGGTTGGAATAATATACTACATGAAAAATAATGAATTAGACTTGGTAGTTGGAGAGAGTCCCACAACGTTTTGTTGAGTGAGAGAAGGAAGATGCACAAAAGTTTGCTTAATAATTAATTTGTGTAATAAAAAAAAATTATGTAAGAGAACCATGCATATATCATGGACTCATGAGTGTGAAGGAAAATAGTTAAGAATGCTTGCTAGTGGTTAAATGTTTATTTTGGTGGGGGGTAGGTAGGGGTAATGGGAAGAATTGTTCTTTAGTTGACAAAAAAGTCTGTGATTATATTGGTTCATTATAGTGTAAAATGATGTAAATGTGCATATTTAAAAATACTAAGTAAATATTTAAAATAAAAATGACCTTTTTTCCCCCCTAAAAGTGATTCTGATTTACAAATACCTGAGCATGTCCATGTGAAATCCATGGAAACTCTTAGGAGCAAAATAATCATGATAGAAAGACAAATTTTTTGAGGTAGGAGAGCCTAAAACAAAGAATTAAGTGCGCACATGTGGGCTCTCTTTGTGTCTGCTTTCTCTGTCTCTGTGTCTCTCTGTCGCTCTCTCTCAAACAATAACCAGTGGGAAATTTAATTACCCATAAAACTGGGGTGGTCTCTGTGTTGGTTGGTATTGTTCTTCAGGGACTTTTGCCTTCCTTTGATTTGTCACCCTGGGTGTTGGCTTTGTGTTCATTCTGCAGTACTTCTAGCTATAAAAATCCACTGTAGCAGAGTCCAGAGGGAGAAGTTTGGTCTCTTTGGATGTCTGTTGTAGGGTTTCTTGGGAGTATTTGTTGAGATGGAATTTGGGGTACAAGTTGGTTATAACAACTGTGAGAGGAAGGAGCTGGAAGCAGAACTGGGCAAAAGAAGAGCTTTGCCCTGGCCAGTTTGTTTCAGCAGTTAGAGCATCAGCCCTTGGACCAAAAGGTCTCTGATTCGATTCCTGGCCCTGGTTGGGGTTGTGCAGGAGGCAACCAATCAATGAGGCTCTCTCACTTTGATATTCCTCTCTCTCTCTCTCCCTCCCTCCCTTCCACTCTCTCTAAAAATCAATGGAAAAATATCCTCAGGTGAGGATTAACCAAAAAAGAGAAGAAGAAGAGTTTTAGTGCAGGCTTGACCAATGGGAGCTCCGGAGCAAGGATTGCTTGCGAGAGTTGTTTCATGTTGGCTTGAAATGCCCAGCCTTTATACCCTTGGCATTGTGGGCTGAGCTGGGAAGGCAGCTCCTGAAGGAACTGAGAGCTCTGGAGGCTGTCTGATGACCACACTCCCTGCTGCAGCTGGCAGCAAGTCCTTTCTTGAAGGGGGTATCTAGGTGACATATCTCTCTATCTACCACATTGTCTTTAAGAATCATTATATATTTCCTAAAAGTCCTTCATCAGACTTCCCCTCACATCTAAGTATTAGATTACGTGTTGTGACAAAGACTAATGATGACCCTTCATCGTCTTTCTCCACTTCTCTAGTAAAGAAAGTCCTGATTTTTACTGGATACATGGTCATCTGGGGTAATGGCTACATTTTTCAGCCTCTGTGTTTGGATTTGTCTAACTTTTGGCTGATGATTAAGTTGAATTGTTATGTTTGACTTAGAAAGGATATGTGCCTTGTTTTTTATCCCTCCTTCCTGCTGGGTGGAATGTGGGAATAATAGCTGGGAATAATAACTATCAATAATAATAATAGTATGAGCAGCATCTAGGATTATGAGGTGGAAGCCGCATGTTAAGGATGATAGAGCAAGATAGAGGAACATTATTAGGTTCTTGATGATCATGGAAATGCCTTATATGCTCTGGATTGCTTACCTTTGGACTTTATAAGTTAAGCCATTACTGTTTAGGTTTTTTTTGTCAGTTGCATTAGAACTTAATCTTAACTGATATACATTTCTAACCAATTATTGGCACAAGGCCCAGGAAAGTGATTGGCTCAGACTAACATTTTGGGGTGAATAGATGTTGGGGAGTCAGACACAGAGACATTTGTATCACTTAAGTATAGCAGAAGGAGAGAAGGACAAAGAAGTCAAGGGATTTTCAGGGCATGATAATTATGATAGACCATGGAATCTTAACTAGGGAAGTGGGAAAGTGAAATGTGTGGGTAGTGGGGGATGAACATAGAGAAGTGTTAAGCTTAGTGTATTGGAGGTCCCCGTGGGGCTGGTGACTCACGGGGAAGGGGAAGAAGGCTAAATGAATTGGGGAGAGAAGAGATGGTAGTATAGGAGTATAGGACACCTAAAATGAAGATTTTGGTAGTAGTGCTGTTACTGGTAATGACAAGACCTAGAGGAATGAGTAACTAAAGTGGGATGGAAGAAAGATTGTTAATGAGGAAATTAAGAAGTGGAGAGTCTGGGTTTTGGATGGAACATCTTGGATGTTGATGTAGTTGAGTGGAAGGCAGTGAACTAGAGGCTAATGTCTTCAGTGGGTGAGGAGAAGTAACTGGGATCTCAGTAGATATCTAGAAAAGTGAGGGAGGCTGATCCAGAAAAGCATCTGTTTCAGAGAGGCTGACATTGTTGATGGAAGTGGGAGGAAAAATGACCTGGAAACAGCAATGAGGAAGGAAATAGCATCCTTCTTAAATAATGCAAATTTCTATATAACAATATACTGGATACAAGTAGAAAGAAAAAGTAAACTGAGAAAATATAGTACATTTAACATACACGTAGGAACTTTTTAATATTAAAAATAGCTCCTAAACATTAAATTGAGAAAGACAACTTGGTCTCAAAGTGGGCAAAGAATGTGGAATCGGAATCTAAATTCATGTAGGAGGAAATGCAAATTACAAAACTTTTGAGAAGATTCAAACATCAAGGTTAGTACCAGTCAAAACATTAGTTAAATGCTAGAATATGCCTATCATATTGGCAAGACCTCAAAATATTGCCAAACTTCAGGTTTGGTATGAGTGTGAGAAGATAAATTCAACTGCTCATGGAGGGTTATAGATTGCCACTTCAGCAGCAGCAGCTTAAATGGCTGTGATGGGTCTATTGTGTATTGTGGCTTGACGGGCTTGCCCATCACTATTATGCTGTCTATAATGTTACTGTATTAAATACTTAAACTGTTACTGTGTGATTGTATATAACAAAACCAACTCATTTATAAATACATTCTTGTGGCCTTTTTTAGGTACAAAGTATGATTTTCCCCATCTTATCTGGAAAGATTTAGGTTTTTGTTTTGTTTGTTTTTATCCTCACCCAAGGACATTTTTCGATATTTTGTTCAGATAGAGTGGGAGGGAGAGAGAGAGAGAAACATCGACGTGAAAGGAACACATCGAGTAGCTGCCACCCGCACGACCCAACCAGGGCCGGGGACAAACTGCAACCGAGGTACATGCCCTTAGCGGGAACTGAACCTGGGTGTTTCCAGACCGCAGGCCAACACTCTTAACTGCTGAGCAAACTGGCCAGGGCTAGGTATTTTTTTTTTTTTTTCATTTGTGTTGGTTTTAGTATGTTTGTATCTCCTTTTTTGGGGGGTTAATCCTCACCTGGGGATATTTTTCCATTGATTTTTAGATAAGAATGGAAGTGATAGGGGTTGGGAGAGAGAGAGAGAGAAAAAGAGAAACATGGATGTGAGAGAGATACATCAATTGGTTGCCTCTCCCATGACCCAGACTGGGGCCAGGGAGTGAACCTGCAACCCAGGTATGTGCCCTTGACCATGAATCGAACCCATGACCCTTTGGTCTGCAGGCCAGCCCTCTAACCACTGAGCAAAACTGGCCAGGGCTGTTATCTCCTTTACTTAAGTATGCATTTGTTTAATCTGTATATGTGTAATCTGAATATAACTATCCAGTTATTTTCTTCTGGTTATATAGTGTGCATTAATGTACTCACTATTTATACTGAGAATAAAGAAAGATATTGCTAATATATAAAATTGATGGATTTTTTTTTAAATTACAGACTAACTGGATCTTCTGGGTTTGTAACGGATGGACCTGGAAATTATAAATATAAAACGAAGTGTACATGGCTCATTGAAGGACAGTAAGTAGTAATGGCTAATTAAAATTTTTTTTCACGATAGAGCTTGGAGTGGCATTACTGTTCATATAAGTAAAATTAACAATCCGTTGCATAAAGTACTTAATATATTTTTTATTTGATAACTGATTTTACAAGTAAATTTGATTTTGTTTTTCTTAATCTTCGCTGTTACTTAAAAAAAAACAAAACATTTTGTGTTGATTTAATGCTCCAGATGAATTTACATACCAGAAATATGTATATTTTCAGTTGTATTAGTTAAACTGTTGAGTTATTTATTTATTTATTTTTATGTTTTTTCATCCTCACCTGAGGACATTTTTCCATTTTTGTTCAGATAGAGTGGGAGGGAGAGAGAGAAAGAGAGGGAGAGAGAGAAATATCGACGTGAAAGAGACACATTGAGTGGCTGCCTCCTACACTAGTGCAACTGGGGCTGGGGACAAACCACAACCGAGATACGTGCCCTTAGCAGGAACCAAACCCAGGTCTCTCTGGTCCATGGGCCGACCCGGCTAGGGCAAATGTTATTGCCCAGACAACTTCTCTGGGCTCCCATACCCCTTCAGCTGTTGCCTTTTTTTTTTTTTTACCTTCAGCAAACCTTTAAAGTAGTGTTTCTCAAACTATTTGGTTTTAGGACCTCATTACACTCTTAAATTTATAGAATTCTAAATAACTTTTGTTTTTATGGGTTATATCTGTGTTTACTATATTAAAAATTAAAACTAAGAAATATTATTTAATTCAGTTTAAAAACAATACTAGACCCACTATATGTTAGCACAAATGACATATGTGAGTGAGTGTGATTGTGTGTGTGTGTGTGTGTGTGTGTGTGTGTATTAATCCTCACTCAAGGACATTTTTTCCACTGATGATTTTTTTAGAGACAGTGTTGGGATAGGGAGAGAGAGAGAGAGGGAGAGACAGACAGACAGGCATGTGAGAGAGACACTTCGACTAGTTGTTTCCTGCACACATCCTAATTGGGGTCAGGATCGAACCTGCAACCCAGGTACGTGCCTTTGATTGGGAATCGAACCCACAATCCTTTAATTCATGACACTCCAACCACTGAGCAGTGCCACTAGGGCACAAATTACATATTTTTATGAAAAAGAAACCCTGTATTAAAAAAATTAAGTTAATGAAATGAATAGCATTGCTTTACATTTTTGTATATCTCTTCTCTGGATTAATGGAAGACAGCTGGATTATCATATTTTCTTCTACATTCACTTTGTTACAATATGTTAATTGTGATTGAAGTATGTGAAAATAATTAGGCTTCACTTGAATAAGCAGTGGGAATAAGGGGATTTTCATAGCCCTTTAAAATAACTGTAGGTGGTCTTTGACAAATGGTAATTTCTTAAAAGTAAATTGCAATGTGGAATCTGAAACAATTTGAATGAACTTTTAGAATTTTTTAAATTAAAATTAATTGGGTTTTTTTTGTACTTTGAATGGATCTTTAACCTGTGATTGGTTTTGTAACATGATATGTAGGTAATTTGGAAAACATTGGCTCACTGAATTATGCAGATTTCCCAAATGCTGATATATTTCATTATATAATATATATATATATAATACTTAAATAATATATATATACATAAATCACATTAGGCCCTGGCCATGTAGCGCAGTTGGTTAGAGCATCATCCCATATGCCAAAATTGTGGGTTCAGTCCCTCCTCAGGGCACATATAATAGCCTATGAATGTATAAATAAGTGGAACAACAAAAATTGATGTTTTTCTCTCTCTCCTTCCCTCCTCTCTCTCACACTCTCTCTAAATTATCTTTAAAAATCACTAGTCTCATTGGTTAATAACATTAATCTCATCAGAAAGTTTTAAATATTAGGACGTTGTATCTAGGTGGCAGATATCTATTTTTTAAAGCTCTAATTATTGCTTGAAAGCTTGTATTTTATCTTTGGCAACAAATACTGTGATTTTTTTTTCTTTGGCGTGACAGTCTTGCTCATTTTCAAGAAAATATCTGCCATATATCCAATTCTGAAAAACCATAGTTTGTCACTTGTTCTTTCAAGTAGAAATGGTAAATCGTGTTCTAAGAGAAAAGCGACTAGTGCAGCTCATAACTCAAACAATTGCAAAAGTGATTTTCCTTAAGATCATTGTACTTTGTTAGGTAGCAGAAATGCTTTATGCATGCTTCCCATGTTGACATGCAGAATATTAAAAAGATGTATACTATATTTTTACCATGTAATAAATCGATGCTTAAATGAAACTATCATTCTTTTTTTTTTTTCCTGTGAGAGTGGTGGCGAAGAAAAACAGTGATTATTAGTACAGTTTGGTGCTACTGTCTTGCTTCATTCCATAATGTCAGCAGTTTCACCCACTATTGCTCTTGCACCATTAGTAAATGCCAATATGGCAATGAGGCACATGATAGCTTAGTATTAATTATTATGAACATAGTCTTGACTTCTTAGGCCTCCTAAAAGGGTCCCAGGGCCCCTGGCACTTCTGTGGATCACACTTTGAGAACTTGTGCTCCATTGTCCGCCTTTGTCCTTTCTGTCAGTTCATTCCCATCTAGGGTCCTCCACCATTGTTCTGCATGTGATCTCAGTGGTTGCTCTTCCTCAGCCTAAGCAAAAAATAATTTCTCTTTTCTCTTATCTACACATTCAGCCTGTCCATTTTCCCTCTAGACTATCTCCCAAATCCTTCTACATTCTTTTTGTCATATTCATCTCTGCAATTATTGTAAGAACCATTACCCTTACTTTCTTGGGGCCCTATATAACAGCCTTGAAATTGGCCTTTTGATTTTTGCTTTTGCCTCTTGCCTACCTCTTCTTAATCTCATGTCATTCCCTTGATTTGCTGTTTCAGACGTGCTGATTTTCTTCATATTGCTCCAGCATATTTTCTTTCTTCCTGAGACTTTAAGATGGTGCTGTTTCCTCTGCCTGAAACATTGTTCCCAAGCTTTCACATGGTTTATCTCTTGTCATTATAATCTCCTTCAAAGCTTTCTGGGGTATTTCTTTTCTTTTTGAAAACTTTTTTTTTTTCCTTTATTGATTTTTAGAGAGAGAGGAAGTGAAAGGGAGAGAGAGAGAGATAGAAACATCGATGAGAGAGAACATCGATGAGAGAGAACATCGATTGACTGCCTCCCACATGCCCCCCACTGGGGGGTCAGCCCACAATCTGGGCATGTGTCCTGGCCGGGAATCGAACCGGTGACCTCTTGATGCATGGGTCGATGCTCAGCCACTGAGCCACAATGGCCGGACTGGGGTATTTCCTCACCACTTGTACTACCATATCACATTTCCTTTAATTTCTTCACAGTACTCATCACCATCTGAGTTAACATGTTTATGTATTTATTTAGTTGTTTGCTTAGAAATGTTAGTTAGACAAATAAGCATGAGGTAGAGGAAAAGTCTAGACTGGAGACATATAATTAGGCATCAGCAGGAGCTAAATGGTGTTGCTAATACCAAGAGTTTTTTGAGCGGAGTGTTTTAGCTGAAGCCAGGTTAGAGAGTGAAGGGGTGAGTGGGATATGAGGAAATAGAGAAAGCAGTCTTCTGTAGAGTTTTACCCTATTAAGAGGAGAAAGGGATGGGTGGGGCAATAGCTAGAAGAAGAGTTGGGATTTGAAGCTTTTTATGTTTTGTTGTTTTTGTAAATGTGATTAAAAAGTGTGGATGTGGAAGTTCCAGATAAGAGGGAGATGTTAAATATTTGAGAAATGGAAGGAGAAGTAGGTAGGTGTGTATCTGTTTTGGAAAATGGGGATTTGAGGGATTTTTGAGCATAAGCAGAGAGGTGGGATTGAATGGTTTGAGATAGTAATTGAGATGAACAATTGTGGAGAGGGAGAGAGAGAGTAGTAGGATTGCTGGCAGAATTGAAGTGCCATTAGAACTTGGTGAGCAGTGACTAGTACTGGAACCAGCCTACTCAGTGGTGTGGCTTTCTAGGCATAGCTTAGTTTTCTTTGGATTCAGTCTAAGTCAAAGCAGGTAACTGTTTTCCTATAGACCAGGGCTTTTGCTAGGTAGTTCCATGATAAGTCAGGGGGGCAGGTAAGTTTAGAAAATTGGCAGGTGTGTTTATGAAATGATGTATCTTGGAATCTTAAGTTGAGTAAGGAAGTGCAGAAATGGAAGGGCTAATGGGTTGGTTCAGAGGCTGTTATTGAGTGGCTACTGTATGGACTACAAGACCCAAAGAGGCACAGACCATGTCTTTTTGTTTATCATTGTGTGTTTAGTGATCTCTTGCACAAAGTAAATCTTTGACAAATAAAGAAATGCTCTTTACTATTAATTTCTTCTTTCTGTAAATTAAAAAAAAGCTAGCTATATATTTTTTCAAATGTTTGATAGTTATGATTTTTATAAATTACTTTTTTTTTTTCAGGCCAAATAGAATAATGAGACTTCGTTTCAGTCATTTTGCTACAGAGTGTAGTTGGGACCACTTATATGTTTATGATGGGGACTCAATTTATGCACCACTAATTGCTGCCTTTAGGTAAGTTCACTCATATAAGTAGTTAATTATGTGATTTCTGAATTCAAACATATCTCCTAGATTTCATTCATACTGGACTTACTTTTATTATCCCTTCACACACTATTTTATGGAAAGAGTACTATTTCTGGAGGCCTGACTTGGTTTCCTGTAGCTACTAGGTAAGTTTCTGGGCAGAGTACTGGATCTTTCTTTTTAGTTTTCTGCTCTGTGCAGTTGTGATAGTAGTATATTGTTCATCTGCTTCTCATGGTAGTGGTGAAATTTAAATTAAAAAAATGTTTTGTGAGTAATACATATAATAATATTTCTATAAAAATATTAAATCAGTGATCATGTTCATTTTAATATCCTTGTGTTCCTCATTACACAGGCCTTCAGGAGGTATTTGTTGAATTCAAATATAGGTGTGTGTGTGCGTGTGTGTGTGTGTGTATTTATTGGTGAGAGAAACTTTTTGGAAGAATGAGGAATATACTAATTATGTATTGTTATTTTTTCCCAATAAGTATATTCTGTATTAGTTGCTAAACAAAATAGCTTAACACCAAAGCTATGGGGTGCTCTGAATTGTTTTTGGCATTTTAGTTTTTATTAACGGTAAGTGGCTGTGTTATCTTTTTTTTTTTAATCTTCACCCGAGGACATTTTTTCATTTTTTTGTTCAGATAGAGCAGGAAGGAGAGAGAGAGAGAGAGAGAGAGAGAGAGAGAAACATCGACGTGAAAGGTACACATCGAGTGGCTGCCACCTGCACGACCGAAACGGTTGGGGACAAACTGCAACCGAAGTACATGCCCTTAGCGGGAAACGAACCCAGGTCTCTCTGGATCACGGGCCGATGCTCTAACCGCTGAGCCAAACTGGCCAGGGCTGTGTTGTTATCTTTTTGACTACATGGGAATTCAAAACCATCCTACTTTTATTCCATTTATCTATCTATTTATCATCTATCTGTCTGTCTGTCTGTCTGTCTATCTATTTATCTATCTATCTCTCTCACCCGAGGACATTTTTCCATGTTTTGTTCAGATAGATTGGGAGGGAGAGAGAGAGAGAGAGAGAGAAACATCGAACGTGAAAGGGACACATCGAATGGTTGCCACCCGCATGACCCAGCCAGGGTCGGGGACAAACTGCAACCGAGGTACGTGCCCTTAGCGGGAACCAAACCCAGGTCTCCTGACCGCAGGCCGATGCTCTAACCGCTGAGCAAACAGGCCAGGGCTCCTTTTATTTGATAGAAAATTTATAAAACAATATTTTTCTAAAATACACATCTCCTTAGAGGGACATTAGTTGTCAGTTTTTCATCTGCAACTCACTTTATGGATTTTTCCCCTCAAATATTTTATTTCCTTGACTTTAAATAGAAATCAATTCAACAACTCAGCATTTTTGTATTTCTCACATGGGACTAGTCTCGTGTGGGTGAGGAAGTAACAGAGTAAACAGTACACAAGTTGCCAAAGGACACAGGAGACCAGGAGGCTAATGCGCCCTTGTATTTCTCCCCTCCCTTTGGCTTAGAAATCTCTTTAACATATCTTTGAACTAAGAACCAGTTGCAGAGATTTACTTATGAGGCCAAAGAGCAGGATGGATAGGCCATGCTGAGCATTAAAATGTCATTTGCTGAGTGTTGAGCATGTATATCTTTATGCCAGAATTTGAAGCATACCTTGCATTATAGTATGAAGCTCCCAAAATTTTAACATAAGCACAAAACTACCTATAGTATGATGTTATCATGATAGTACTTGTTGGAGTTCACTTGATGCTGAGTTCTTTTTTTTTTTTTTTTTATCCTCACCTGAGGATATTTTTCCATTTTTTGTACAGATAGAGTGGGAGGGAGAGAGAGGTAGAGAGAGAGAGATATAGAGATAGAGAGAGAGAGAGAGAGAGAGAGAGAGACATCGATGTGAAGGGACACATCGAGTGGCTGCCACCCACACGACGACCAACCAGGGCCGGGGACAAACTGCAACCGAAGTACGTGCCCTTAGTGGGAACTGAACCTGGGCCTCTCCGGACCGCAGGCCGACGCTCTAACCGCTGAGCCAAACCGGCCAGGGCTGATGCTGAGTTCTTAATCCAAATATGTGGAATCCCTATTATGTGCTGTGCATTTTTAATCAGCTTGCCATTAGCCCTGTGAGACCGTGAGCCAAGTGGTTGTGCGTGATTAATCCTGTGGTTCACCTGGACTGGTTATTTGATGAGCAGACATGTGAGTCAGCAGCAACACAAAAATAAGCAGAAGGCTGTAATTGTTCTAATTAATGACTTTTGAGAGAAGCCAAAGTAATATGTATAGAAAACAGGAGAAAATTTAGGTTTTTATTTTTAAAAGTTGGTTAACTGATAGTATAAATTAATCCATTGATTGTGTTAAAATTTAACTCATAGCATAGTATTTGATATTTTCTAAATATGTGTTTTAAAATTGAAATTTATCTGAAACACAACCTCTGAAGCCTTGATATGCAGAACGATTTAGAAACTACTGTTTAGACCAAAAGGCCCTGTCACAAGATGGGGAGCTGAGGAGTGCTGTTGGGTCAGGAGGACTTGGATAGAGGAGTCCACTCAGTGGTGATGTGCTGGAGACCTAGAGTGGAGAGAGCCTGGTCGCAGGTCATTTAGCCAGTAAAGAAAAGAAGAACCACACAGGGTTCAGATGATGTGGACTTTTAATATGAGTTCTGCTCGAGTCTCTGTGGGAACTTGAACTGGTCATTTAAGCACTCTAGTCTTCAGCTTTTAAAACCTAAAATGAAGGTGTTGTATGATGTTTTTCTGGGTGTATTGCAAACTGTGGAGTTTAATTTGACTTCAAACTGGTTGATCCTATTTACCTTTTATATATTGAAGTTCTGAATAAAATTTGTTTAATAAACACAATTCAATTACTAGACATATTTGAGAACCACTGGAGCGAGTCTCTTCTAGTTCTACAACATTATGATTTTGTGGTGCATTCATTTTAACAAGTGTGTAAATGTAGCACCTTTGGAGAGCAGCTGTTCTGCTAGGATCTTTTGGTAGGGAGATGCAAAGGTAGGTAGGTGGCAGTAGTGATGGGGCAGTTTTCCTCCTTGAAAACGTTCTTCAAAAGAACATTACTGCTTTTAAGAGTTGTGGTGTTTTGTTTTTTTAAAGAAAGTCAAAGTATGTGTTTATTTACTCTGTGAGACTAGGCAGTTATTTAGGCTGCGATGAAGAACTGTTAAAGGAAGCCTTGTAAAGTGACAGTCAGTCTGTCCAGCACCCCTACTGAAACTGTGGTTAGACCATGGCACAGATAGAGAAGATAGGCAAAGGCAGGCGTGTGTCTCATGTTCTGGGACCCTCTTTTGCCAATTAGAAATATAGGTCCTGCCTGGCTCCTTCACTGGGCTCCTACCCCTGACTCCCCAAATTTGTCTTTCCTTTCTTCCACATCTCCCTGCCTTTAGGAGCGTATAGTCTTACAAGAAGACAGGTGTGTCAAACCAAGGAGTGCTAGTGCACTTACATAGTGCAGTTGGTAGTCAGGTTGTGCCCTATGTGTATTCAGAGAGCCCCTGTCTGTCTGGGAGAATTATGGAGACTATTTAAGAAAATATTTTAGTTTATTGATTTTTAAAAGTGGTTCTAAACAGTTAAAAACTCTTTAAAATATAAGATTATGAAGAACCTCAGGGCAGGGCAGTTCCTATTTGCTCAAGTTGAACAACTGGCTGAAGCCTAAGCTGTGCCTGCATCAATCTGTCTACTTAGTGGCAGGAGATAGGGAGGTGCGAGGCAGCTCAGGGTGGCAGTTAAATGGCACACCAGCAGCATCACTTTCTCACCCACACACTTTCTAGTGCCTTACACACTGGGTTGAGGCTGTGTATGTGTTCATTTACTCTGTGAAAGTTTATTTTTGTCATAAACCAGTTGTTTTAAAGTGAAAGAAGCAAATGCCTAAGTTCCTCTGACAGTGGGAAGCTGACCCCTTCTCCAGTATTGTGGTAATCTAGTACAGATGGCCCTCCTACCCCGTGTGTAGTTAACTCTCCATCCTTTCTCACTCTACCCAGTCTACCATTTATCCTACACACTGAAGTGTCCCCACCGTATTGTAAATAATAAATAGCATTACCAATCACTTACTGAGCACTTTCTAGTGTGGTACATACTAAAGCACATACTTTAGCAGTTTGATTCTCATTGTGCATTTGAGGAAACTGAGGCTCAGAGATGTCGGTGACATGCCCAGGAATGTGGTGCAAAGGTCAGAGCTCACATCTCTGAAGCTCATGCTAGGATAACAGAGAGTGCAGGGTCTCCCACATGTGACAGAGCCCCCAGTCATTTTCTGTGCCGGTATTTCTTATGAGAAAATTGCTTTTGACAAACCTGTATCTAGGTGACCAGTACTTACCCTTTTAGCATTTCAAGGGGTCTGATGTAGAAAACTTATGAAAGCATGATGATGGTTAAAACCTTTATTTTGGTTTCTGGACAAATGTCACCTCTTCCAAGAGGCCTTCCCTAACGGCTCTGTCTAAAGTAGCATCTTGTGTTTTTTCACTTTGTTCTGTTTCCCTTCAGAGCATTTCTCTCTGCCTGGCATCATACAGGATGTCTGTAGATTCTCTTATATTGTGAAAATGAAATATATTTTAATAAACACTGGCTTTATAATTATTCAAAGTTGTATATACAGTTTTCGGGACACCCTAGAGATGCATACCAGGCAGGGGAGGGGAGGAGCTCTATCTAGGCTTATTTGTTGTTTTTCTAAGGTGAACTCCATGAGGGCAGGAACTTCTTCGCTGTTGTATTCTTGATACCTAAAATAGTGCCTCACATGTAAGTGCTTAGGAAACATTTGTTAATTGAATAGTAGAAACTTCACTGTTTTGTAACCTCTAGAACACCTTCAGAGTCCTAGGGTTCCTAGTGTTCTGTCTTCACATTAAAATCAAAATCTCTCATTGAATAAAAATCTTGTCCCCGTCTCCCTCCCATACCCTGCTTATGTGTTCTTCCAGTTTTCATATGAACTTATATAAATACATGTAAATGTGTATATGTACGTATATATATTAGGCCCATTGTTTTGCAGCTTGTCCCCCCCCCCCCCCCCAGAATGCTTTGGTGAGGTTTCTTGTTAGTTCTGCAGACCTACAGAAATGTAATGATGCATTCATCCAACTTGCTGTGGATGAGCATATAGGTGGTTTTCAACCTTTTGACATTCTGAATAGTGCTGTAGTGAGGATTCTTACATATTTGTCTTTGTGTATACAAGCAAGTGTTTTTAGTACAAATAGGATTGCTACATCATAGCGAATGAGCATTTAAGATTGTTATAGGCCCTGAGGTGGGAGTTTACTTGGTGTGTGCTCTGGTAAAGCAAAGAGGCTGTGCGGCTGGGGTTGAGTGAGTGAAGGGAAGAGAATAATTGATGAGATAGATGTTTGTTCACTGTGTGTGTGGAGCAGACTGCATAGGGCCTGGTAAGGATTTACGCTATTACAGAATGAGGTGGTGGTATTGGTGGTAGTCACAGTACCTCAATAATTGGGCAAAAGATGTGAGCATATAAAAATATGCAGTAGGCAAGTAAACATAGGAAAAATGGTTAACATCAGGAGTATTAAAAAAAAACTCAGAATCAAAATTTAAAAATCACTTTTTTCCTTATTAAATTAGCGAAGCTATAATAGGACTGGTAATCTTACTGGTTGGCAGGGTGAGAATTCTTATTCTTTCTTGATGAGATTTCAAATCAGCATGTCTCTTCTGGAAAGCAGGTTGGTATTTTGGGTCAAGAGCCTTAAAGCTGTCATTTAAACCCTTTGACTCAGTAATTCTTTTCCTCTTCAGGTACCCAACAAATATTCTTGTGTGCCAGAGTCTGACTGAGATACTGAAAGTTCTGAAGGAATTTGTAGTGACATAGGAAATGCTTATGGTGTATTACTGGTAAAATAGAATATAAGATATAATGTGGTATTAATTAGGCAAAGAAAATACATCAGAATGCTAATAATGTTGGGATTATGGGTGTTTGTTTATCAAGCTTACCTATTTATATTTTTACTTTTCATGTCTTTTGCTAGTATATATTTGACATTCATCAACTCATGAAATATGTTACTTTCTGTGATTATTGGAGGTTTACTAAGTTTTTCAAAGAAGCATTATTAAAATTTTTATTTAAAAAAGAGAATAGGGCCATTGATTAAAATCTTAATAGAAATATAATCCAGAATAAAGGAAAGCCTAGCAAAAGATTCAGATATATTCCTCAGGAACCAGAACTAGTAGGATAGTATCATGCATTTATCACAGGAAGTTGTCCCTCTTCCTGGAAGTGTTTTTTTTTAACATATGAATTCCGGCTCTGAATTTGTGTTTGCTACCATGTGACATGTCTGTGATTGTGTTTCCCTTTTTAAGAAATGTGTTTTCATTTCAGCGGCCTCATCGTTCCCGAGAGAGATGGCAATGAGACTGTCCCTGAGGTTGTTGCCACATCAGGTTATGCCCTGCTGCATTTTTTTAGTGATGCTGCTTATAATTTGACTGGATTTAATATCACTTACAAGTAAGATATTTAAGTCTAACATTTGTGATTTTATTCAAAAGACTATCTACTTTGTTTTAACAATAATAATGACTAACATATATTGAGGGCTTACAGTGTGATGTGCATTGCACTGAGCAGTTTGAATGGATTTTCTCATTTAAGGTTTTTTAAACATTCAGTGAAATATGGGCACTGTCTTTCTACTCATTTTATAATTGAGGAAACTACAGGGAAACAGTAAAGTAAATTGTCAAAGTGCTGGGACCATAGTTTCAGCCCAGATCTTGCTCCTGTTGAGCTTTTCCAGGAAGAGAGGAGCATTTTCCCACTAATGGATTAAAACATTGGTGGTTTTTGCTAAGTATGATTTAATAAATGGTAGTAGTTTTCATGTACTGAGTGGTTAGACCTTTGATGACAACTTAGTTGAGGTTACAAAGGAAGTGTAGACAGACAAACTTCAGCAGCTTTTAGAATTTAGAATTTGTTGTGATAGGAGATAGGCTAACTTTTGTCTTTTCTTTTTTTCCTCTTAAGAAATCCACCCTCCCCTAATTAAATGAACCTCAATAAAGGAGGCAGATTTTGCTAAAGGGGGCTGCTCTGTGGAGTTGCTTATTTTCTGTCTCACTGCTTCATTAATAAAGTCACTTTCACATCAAACTCTAAAAAAAAAATGTTTCTTTTCATAAGTAGTTAAATTCATAAAATGCCGTAAATAAGTGGCTTGTGATAAAAGAGCTTCTGTGGCCCTCAAAGCCTAAAAAACTATTTGGCCTCTTACAAAATAAATTTGCCAGCTCTTGCCACAGGCAGTGACTGCCACATGTAACCTTTATGTTGGGTTCTTTTTCTGCCCATTTTCTCATGATCTTAGTGTTTATTCAGGCTGATTTAAAGCAGTATCTGTCTTGATTAGTATGGTGATTCAGTCTTTCAGGTATCCAGGGTTTGTGACTTGGCAGCCTGGGTAGCTTATCACAGTTCTTCTAGCAAGGTGATTTTTAATGACACAGGCAGGCATAAAGGCTGATAAGTTTGGTTGGGTACATGGGTATATGGGATGTCTAAACAGGACATTGATATTTGGATCTAAGACTCAGAATTGCTGTCAGGGCTGGGATGTCATCTGGTAATCACTGGTGCACATAGGCAGTGACTGACTGGCCTATGGGGCATGTGCACAGTGAGGAGAGGGATAGTAGAGGCAGTTAAGGGGCAGAGGAATGCCATTGGGCTTTGTTGTCACAGAACCCCAGAGAAGAAAGTCTCAAGAATGAGGAAGCTGACGGCTATGAGGTTACATAAGTAGAGGAGGCCCTACGTTGCTGTAACTGGGAAGGGTGGAGTCAGGGGGCTGATAGGAATAGAAGATTAGAAAGTCATGGCATTGAGAGTAGGAAACTGGTGAATTTCTTCTCTGGAAGGGGAAGGGAGAGAGGGGAGATGTGGCTTTATGCTAGGGCTTCTCAAACTTCACATGCACAGGGATCTTCTGGAGGGCTTGTTAAGGCACAAATTCCTGAGTCCTACCCAGAGATTGTAGTTCAGCAGAGCCCAGGCCTGAGAATCTGTATTTCTGAGTAGCTCCTGGGTGATGCTGCTTCCGCCTGCCTACCTCTGGTCCACATTCTGAGTAGCATTGCGCTAGTCATTTATTTAGGCCCCATTCGGGGTTCCCTGTAGGTTCCTAGGTCAGGGGCTACAGGGCACAGACTTCCCTGTTGAATGGCCCATCGCTATAGCAGCTTTGGGGGAGAAGAGAAACTTAAGCAGGTGAGCACCCCAGGAGAGAAGGCAATTCAAGCACTCCTTGATATTGGAATCCCTTTGTCCATCATCACTGGAGTGCTCTTCTAGCTGTATAGCCAGTATGTTCCTCAGGAATGCGTTTTTTTCTTACCCTGATTGGTGTAGGGTGAAGCCTTGATTTTTCCTAGAGACCAGAACTAGTATTTGTTAAATGAAGGAATGATGAGGTTATCGTAAATTTTATTAGCTTCATGGTTCCAAATTTCTATTCTACTTATTTATTTAATTTTTCCTTTATTGATTTTAGAAGGAGAGGAAGTGAGAGGGAGATAGAGATAGAAACATCGATGAGAGAGAACATCGATTGGCCGCCTCCTGCATGTCCCCCACTGGGGGTCGGGTCCACAACCTGGGCATGTGCCCTGACTGGGAATTGAACCTGTGACCTCCTGGTGCATGGGTCGATGTTCAACCACTGAGCTACACCGGCCAGACTAAGTTTCTATTCTTTAAAAAGGAATTCTTTAGCAGTCTGAGACCCTATGAAAAGCCAAATAAAACTGGTTTTTATCTGAGAAAAGTACCCAGAAGCACATATGTAAAACAGTCATTCATTTTCCTGATATCCTCAGGTTGTACTGAATCCTAGCTTTGTGCCAACCTTAGCTGGAGGACCCTTGAAGCTTGTACCCATAACTACTCAGCTGTTCCTTAATTTTCTTTTAGAAGAAGAAAAACAATTAGTTATATTTTATTTTCACAAATTGGCACTCTACCTTATTTCTCATTCTGAGTCATATTTTAAGCACAGAAAATTAGACTGCTATTCTTATTACTTTAATTTTGACAGATATACAAGCAGATATTTTGATGTATTACCTGCCATTTTCATATTTTAGAGATACAAAAATAATTTTTGTGTTTTGAGATGTTATGTAACTCACTGTTTTAAAGAATGCTTAGTATTAATTTTGGCACTTGAAGTAAACCTATGCCTAACGGCATTTGAGTGGAGAGATTGAAGTTTAAGGGGAAGTTGAAATTATATTTTCCCTTTTTTAGTTTAAAAGGTTCTATGAGTTACCTCCTCCTTTTGTTTTTCAATAACATTAAGTGTTGGTTATGTGCTATTCTCTCATGTGTGGTTAATAAATGTGTCTGTAGGAAATTATTTGACTGATGATTGGTATAAGGCATAAATTAGCATATAATGGAAATGCCTTACCTCAATTTTTTTTTAGGCCTTTTATAAAAATGAAATGTGATTGTTGTGGCTATTTCAGCATAACAAGTCCAGTCTGAAATTTAGACTTTATTTTTGGAAACTTCTTGAGAGGACTGTTTCTAATAAAGATGAAATGGACCTTTATTAAAGCTTTACTTATGTGTAAGTATTATTACATAGAGATAGTAGGCACCACTTTCTAGAGGGTCTACAGGAATGTCATTCTGCCTTTTTTACCAAGTACTTTAGATATTCTGCTTACTAGGGCTTGAAAAGTAGGCATATGCATTGAACATATTATAATAATAATGTATAGATTATTAAAATACTGTATACAAATATTTATAAAATTTAATATATATCATAAACTGATATTTGGGTGTAGGCATGAATATTATAAATATATCATAAACTGTTATTTGGGTGTAGGCATGAACATTAATTAGCTTGTTTTTATAACTATATTCTGACATGTTTTGCTACCAAATTTGTTTTTGATTTTCTTTACAGATCTTAGAACAAATCTACACTCTTTTTTTTTCTTTATTGATTTTAGAGAGAGGAAGGGAGAGAGAGAGAGAGAGAAACATCAGTGAGAAAGAACATCGATTGGCCGCCTCCTGCATGCCCCCCACTAGGGATTTGGCCCACAACCTGGGCATGTGCCCTGAGCAGGAATGGAACTGGCGACCTCTTGACGCATGGGTCGATGCTCAACCACTGAGCCATGCTGGCCGGGCCAAATCTACACTTTTAAAGGATCTTGACAGTTCAGTTATCTTCCCCCTCTTTAAAATCTGAATTATATCTTTTCAAAGTGCTGTCAATACAATTATCTTAAGTCATGTTATTATGAAACGCATTACAGTTAAACTCCTGTATTAAGTTAAACTGGCCTTCCCTTTTCCTCCATCTGAAGTGAGCAGATACACTTACTGAGGAATTTTTAATACACCAATCTGGGCAATAATCTTTAACAAATTCTGTAAACTTTCAGAGACTGTCCAGAGGGATATATATATATATATAACCATAAGAATGATGGTGTATTGTTGGCAGTTTGTTTTATCTTTTTCCTCTCCAAACTTGCAAGCATGCATTTCACAGTTTTGTAATGCTCATTGTTAGTAGCCCACCAAGGATAGGATAGTCATGCCACCCTTGAGAAGCTAAATCTGGACATTTTGCAAGAATCACTTCTCTCTTTTTAAGTTCTTTAACTTATCTCTTCTTAAGAGAATCTAGCAAGGGCAATTTGATTTCATTACTTGCCCTGGCTATGCAGGGTGATCCTGTTTAGGCTGAATGGTAAGTATTGCAGTTATGCTTGTGAATGAACTGGAGAGACGGTGACTTTCTTAGACCTTGCGTAGGAAGAAGTTCTGCTAATTTATTTCAAGTGTTGCTTTGTTTTGATTTAATTTTCTCCCATTGTTTTTATAGTTTTGACATGTGTCCGAATAATTGCTCAGGCCGAGGAGAATGTAAGATCAGTAATAGCAGCAACACTGTTCAGTGTGAATGTTCTGAAAACTGGAAAGGTGAAGCATGTGACATTCCTCACTGTGTAAATAACTGTGGTTTTCCTCATCGAGGCATCTGCAATTCCAGTGATGTCAGAGGATGTTCCTGCTTCTCAGAGTGGCAGGGTAGGAGCTTCTTTCATTTTTCTTCAACTTTACAGTATATTTCTAATTTAATAACTTATAATTGACATTATTTCTAGCATCCATACCTGTTATGTTACTCAGATATCAGGTGGTATTTAGGTTTTCACATCTCCTTATTGAGCTTCTTACATATCTTTGAAATTTATAGATGTGTGGTTATAGTCTTTTTAAAATTAGGGAGGGATTTGACATTCTTTGCAATTCATTCATGAAAGTTGGAGAACTTGGTCTCAGCCATAAGAAGATATAACAGAGAACCAAGCTGGGAGGTGGAACAAGAGCTGACAATAGTAATGTCTCCTCAGAAACTTTCAATATATAGTAAAATTTTAAAGTAGTCAGTTAATTGATTTATCTATAGATAAAAAAATATTAAAGAAGCTTGAGCAAATTCTTTAAGGGATGGGTGATAACAACTGATATGGATTTATTGATTTTCTCTATATATTTATCCCTTTCTCAGACCACTTTTATTGTGAAAGGAAATGTGCTTGCTTACATGCTTTATTTGCTCTGTTTGGCTGAAATCAAGGAGGTAAATAATTGAAATATTTTAGTACCTGCCACTGTGCAAATATTGCAGCAGAAGCCAAACCTCCCAAGAACGGAGTTTCTTGATTTTTCCAGGAAATGGGAAGTTTGTATTATTCCTGGGACTAATCTTTATATTTTAGCCCTAAAGTTTTTTTCATTTGTATTAATATTCCCATTGTCCTCTTTCCTCTGAGGACTGTTGAAGCAAGTATTTCGTTACTGAAAAATCCTAACCTGAATAGGTCAGGTCATCATTAAAAAGTGTGTGGTTTTGAATTTTATGAGAGATTACTACTGGTCTCTAGCTTTGAGTAAATTAAAAGCACAAATTAAAGGGATTTGTCGGCTATCTAGACACTAAAGAGAAAAAGACTGAATATACATTTTTTGATATTTTGTTTAGATAGAGTGGGAGGGGGAGAGAGAGAGAGAAACATAGACGTGAAAGGGACACATCGAGTGGTTGCCACCCACACGACCCAACCAGGGCCGGGGACAAATTGCAACCGAGGTAACATGCCCTTAGTGGCAACTGAACCTGGGACTCTCCAGACCGCAGGCCAACAATCTAACCACTGAACCAAACTGGCCAGGGCAAGACTGAATATTCTTTTTTTTTTAATCCTCACCCGAGGACTTTTTTCCATTATTTGTTCAGATAGAGTGGGAGGGAAGAGAGGAAGAGAGAGACAGAGAGAAACACTGACGTGAAAGGGACACATCGAGTGGCTGCCACCCACACAACCCAACCAGGGCCGGGGACAAACTGCAACCAAGGTACGCGCCCTTAGCAGGAACCGAACCCGGGTCTCTCTGGACCGCAGGCCGATGCTCTAACCTCTGGGCCAAACCGGCCAGGGCAAGACTGAATATTCTTAAGATAGTTGTTAATTTAGAAGATTAAAACTGGAAATGCAGTAATTTTAAAGTTTCATATTATGAAGCTAATCTATTATGTTTTATTAGGTCCTGGATGTTCAATTCCTGTACCAGCTAACCAGTCATTTTGGACTCAAGAGGAATATTCTAACCCAAAGCTCCCCAGAGCCTCTCACAAAGCTGTGGTCAATGGAAATATAATGTGGATTGTTGGAGGATATATGTTCAACCACTCAGATTACAGCATGGTTCTAGCGTAAGTGGTTTCAAACACTTGTAAGAAGTTTTGCTTTTCATTTTGAAAATTTATAAAGCAGAGATAAGCAAAAGGAAAATAAATCAATAATTTCATTACCTGGTAGAAAATCTCTGTTGATATTTTTGTAGTAGCATTCCAAACTTTTTTGACATATCCTTAGTTTTTGAAATTGGGAGCCACTAAGAATTCATTACAATAAGCAATAACTCATTTTTTTCCAGATACTGTCTCTCATGTTTTGCTTTAGGTGCATATAGTACGTTCTATATAAATAGGAGATTACTTTATCTCTTCATTTAATTAATATAGCTATAGGACAGATGGTTGGAATTTATAATTTATTAGTGGAAATTATGCCATTGTCTAGTGCTTCCCAGAGTTCAAGTTCTATTTGTTTGTCTCATGCCACTCACCTTGAAAGGAGAATATATGCTGTCATAGTGGAATTAGCTATGGAGATTGACTCTTGAGAAATTTGTCAACACTTACTCATGCTGATTTTGTGCCCTGCCAGTGTTTATTAGGCATTTTCTATTAATGAAGGGTGTAAAAAACTAGCATCTGTTCTTTAAGGGATTCTGGAAATATGGCAGTAGTGGCATAGTTCTGAATCCCCCCAAATATAGTCATTAAAACACATAGAACAACTAAGAAACACAAAAACACATGGGTCACATCTATAACAAAACTGGTTAGAGGTACCTACACAGATGGGTAGGGCTAAACCACTGACAGCTCCAAGATCTGTATATCAGCATCTATGCAGGAGTAAGCAAAGGGGAGCAATGACCCACTGACAGGATTCAGTACACCTGGAAGAGACTCGCTTGGAAGCTTAGTCAAACGTCTGAGAACAGCAGCTAGAATTGGAGAGATTTTTGCATATTCTAATAATTGGGTGAATTCAAGGGATCTATAATAGAATCTGAAGGGGCTGAAGCAATTTATGCCTTATTAACTCTCATAATGATCCAGCCAAAGTCTCTTTGTAGGAAAAAGTTCCACACTGAGAAGAAACTGCTGGGGAGAGAATTCAAATTGAACAGGATAAGGGCAATAGAGGCAAAGTTCTAGATAATAGGGAGGGGAACAGAGCTAGGAGATCTCAAGTAAACTGCCATATATTTGAACACTATACTATAGCAGAAGGGTGAGCTAGAGAGCTGAAAAAGTAGAAAAACTATGTAAACAAAGCTTCTCCTGTAGAAATTTAGGAAAAAGTAATTTTACTTAAAATTCATCAACAGAAAAATATCATGGTCAAATCTCATAGAAAGGTATTACAAGAAGAAAGAGAATAAAGAGTAGAATAACACCTTTTCATACCTGAAAGACAGAAGAAAAAGATGCTCACAAAACTGATGAAAAGTATAACAATATTTCAAAACACACTAAAATACAATAGGAAAATGATACAACATGAAAGAATAATATAATCAGAACCAAAAAAAAAAAATTCATAGATGATAGACTCTTGGAAAGAATCATAAAATAATTTCAGAATTGAAGATAAACCTAAAAGAAGCACAGAGTAAGTGAACACAACAGATGCTCCTTTAAAAATAGAATATGGAAAAGGAAATTTTAAAAACTCATAAAGAAGTTTAGGTCACTTTTCCCTGTTCTTTGTGATAAGTATAGTTAAGAATGCTGGACATTATTTATAAAACAAATATGAGAAAACTCTGAAAGGTAAAAAGAAGAAGGCAGTTTGGCTAGGAGCCTCCAGACCCAAGGAATGACATACTAGTAGGTTTCCAGGGTTTTCTTTTTGTCTCCTATATCCAAAACTTAATGTTGGAAAAATTAGCACTCTGGAAATGCCAATAGGTGTATTCTGAAGAAGCCCCAGGAAAAACTTGTTCTGTCTAGCCCAAGGACAAGGAAGGGGCCAGCTTAGTAAGACAGAAAACTTTTAGAAAGTAATTCCTCTACTCTAGCCAAACACCACAGAAGTGTGGCCCCACCCCAGCCCCTGACAGCAAAGTCTGAATGGAGAGTCTAGATTTTCACCTTTGCCAGGATCTAGGTGAGGTGCCCTAACCACCCTGGCAGGGTAGTGTTAGAAAAGGCCAATTAAATAACTGAGACTTTCTTCTTCACTAGGTGAGGCCTCCTACCCCTTGCAATGTCAATGGAGACCTTCTGGGGAGCCTGAATTTTTACCCTCATCTTGCAATCAGGGCAGTAGTAATTTGGCTTTCTCCCTCCTCTGCATTTGAGCAGTGTCAGAGGAGGCCTGCTCTAAGATTCAAATAAGGTCTCGTGTCTCATGTTATGATACCGAAAATGTTCAGATTTCAACTGAAAATCATTTGTTGTGTTAATAGCCAGAAAAAAAAAAAAAATCTAAATTTGAATGAGAAAAGGCAATCAAGAGACACTCCAAGATGACACAGTTATTAGAATTATGCTTTAATCAGTGATTATAGGAAACTTGAAACAAATGAAAAAGAGAAAGTCTCATAAAAGAAACAGAAGATATAAAGAAAAATCAAATGTAAATTTTAGAAGTAAAAAATAACCAAAACAAGAATCTCATTGGATAGGCTCAACAGCATAATGGAGAGGACAGAGGAAAGAATCAGTGAACTTGAAGATAGAACAATAGGGATTCCTCAGTCTGAACAAGAGAGAGAAAATAGAGTACTAAAAAAATGAACAGAATCTCAGAGACCTGTGGACTCTAATAAAGACGTTAACATTTCTGTCAGCAGAGTAGTCCTGGAAGGAGAAGAGAAAGAGGGTGTTTCTGAAAAAGTATTTGAAGAAATAATGGCTGAAAATTGCCCAAATTTGGCAAAAGACATGCATGTATGGATTTAAGAAGCTGGGCAAACTCTAACAACCTGGTTGCATAGGGGTTTACAATTCATTGGTTCTTTCTCATTCTCTCTTTCATTCTCCTGCTCAGCTGTCATTTTTCATTTTTTAAATCTCCACATTTTCTCCTATTTTCATTCTCAGCTGATGCCCTTGCTTCCTGTTTCTATTTTGAAAGATAAAGGATTTGTGTAAACTTCCACCACCACATTTAGCCATTACCTACATCTATGCTCATTTATTCTGTCTTCTGTTTCTGTACATCTGAGCTGTCCAGTAGACAGTTTCTATTTCAGTCATAATGGAAATGTTCAGTATTTACACTGTCATATCACTAGCCACATGTGGTTATTGAGCATGTGAAATGTGGCTAGTGTGACTGAGGAGCTGAATTTAAAATTTTCAATTCTTAGTCCTCATCATACTTGATCTTTCACCAACATTTGATATAGCTGGTCCCTTCCCCCTCTTTTAAATACTTTTCTTCACTTGGCTTCCAGGACACCACAATCTCTTGATTTTTTTCTAATTACTTATTCCTTCTCAGCCTCCTTAGCTGGTCCCTTTTTAACTGACTGACTTCTGAATGATGTGCCCCTGGGCTCAGCCTTTGGTCTTCTTTTGTGAGAGTGTTTATTCACTCTTGTTGTGATCTCATGTGATATCTTGGCCTTTAGGCTATGACTCTCAAATGTATATCTGCAGCCAGGACTTTTCACTAGCACCCATATTTTCACCTCTTTATTTGACATCTCCATCTTTTGGTTGACTAATAGACATCTTTAAAAAAATTTTTTTTTCTCATTGATTTAGAGAGAGAAGAAGGGGGAGAGAGAGAGAAACATTGATAAGAGAGAACATCGACTGGCCACCTCCTGCATACCCCCCACTGGGGATTGGGCCCACAACCTGGGCATGTGCCCTGACTGGGAATCGAACTGGCGACCTCTTGGTGCATGGGTCGATGCCCAGCCACTGAGCCACATTGGCCGGGCAACTAATAGACATCTTAAACTCAGTGTGTCCAGAACTGTTCTTTCCTCCAGCTTGTTCTTTCCCCAGATGTCCCTCAGTTAATGACCACTTCATCCTTCTGTTTGGTTAGGCCAAACATTTTGGAGTCATCCATCACTTCTTCTTTTTTTCACACCCTGTATTGTTATGTGCATTAGTTATCTCTTGCTTCATAAAAATTACCACAAACTTAGCAGCTTAAAACAACATACATTTATCACCTCATAGTTTCTGCTTGTCAAGAGTCTGGGCAGCCCTGGCCAGGTGGCTCTGTTCGTTGGTGCATCATCCCAGACAACAAAAGGTTGCAGGTTTGATTCCTGGTTGGGGCATGTATGGGAGGCAACCAACTGATGTTTCTCTCTCTCTTTCTCCCTTCCTCTCTCTAAATAAAATCAATAAAAAAATCCTAGCCTGGCCGGTGTGGCTCAGTGGATTGAGCGTTGTCCCATGGACTGAGAGGTCCTGGTTGGATTCCCAGTCAGGGCACATGCCCAAGTTGTGGGCTCGATCCCCAGTAGGGGGTGTGCATGAGGCAGCCAATCATGATGTTTCTGTCTCTATATATAAAAAAAAAAAATCAATAAGAAGTATATTAAAACAAAAAAGATATCTTACAAAAAAAAGAGTCTAGGCAGAGCTCAACTGGGTCCTGTGCAGTCAATGTGTCACCTGGCCTGTGTTCTCATCCAGATGCTCAACTGGTAAAAATTCATGTCCAGTTTCACTCAGGTTGTTGACAGAATCCATTTTCTTATGGTTGTAAGACTGATGGCACAGCTTCTTGCTAGCTGTTGACTGGAGAACACCCTTAAAGCTTAGAAGCCAGTCATAATTCCTTATCACTTGAGCTTCCCCAAAATGGCTGCTGACTTTATCAGGCACAAGGAGAGTCTCTAGACTATCTGCTAGCAGAATGGTTATCACAGAATGAAATCTCATTGTCTTTGCCATGTTATGTTGTTTAGAAGTGCACACTTGAGGGGAGGGTATTATACATGGGTGTGAACATCAGGAGGCATGGGTATGAATGATCATGAGGACCACCCTAGTGTCTTTTTGCCACAATCTTGTTTATTCTACTTTTATTTAATTTTTTATTTTTTTGTTAATCCTCACTTGAGGATATTTTCCCATTGATTTTTAGAGAGAATGGAAGG